ATTTCATTTGACTTTAATTAATTTGATGATCGAAAATTTATTGTTTGGTTAAAAATTATACGTCCCAACAACTACACCAAACATTTCACAAAGCATTTGAATTAATTACCGTAGACCATGAAATAGATTTTACAAATCGATAGTATTAAGTGGGTCAGCATAGATCGATGCTCATAAATGATGCACAGGATATCGACTGGCTGGACGGATGATTGAACTGTGTCACGCCATGTGTGCATGACACCAGGTCTGGTGATTAGGCTTATCTAGGTTAAATTATATCCCTAGGGCTTAACCCTGATATTGTATTTTTTTAAAACGGCATTAGTGCTTTGTAATTATTGGTTTACATTGCATTTTGCTTTGGTTAGCGTAATAAATAAATAAATAAATAAATAAATAAAAGTTTATTTAACAACTTTAACATTTTTTACATTGCATTGTTGTACATACATTTCCTTAAAGACCCGTTTAATGCTAAGGTAATGGCAAAGATTTTGGTATTCTTTACAGGCACATGCAATTAGAGCAACGAGCTTTTTTGCCAAATTATAACAATGTGCGGATTAACAAAAATTAGGTATTGCTGATAAGAAAAAATCTAGATTTAGTTCGATAGTGAAGTAGGCCATAAAAGTTCCTTCTCTCGATAGATAAACGAAATAGAAAAGTATACTACAATCATACAAATTTCATATACATCTATCTATTTATATAAAAATGAAACCCGTTTTCCGTTGTCACGACATAACATGAAAACGGCTTGACCGATTTGGCTGATTTTTTTGTAGTTTTCTAATACTCTGTACAAGGTTTTTACGGAAAAAAATATAAAGAAAATCTCTACGCTAAGGCGGTACGAAGTTCGCCGGGTCAGCTAGTATTACAATAAAAACTCATGTAGGATTCTTATAATTTAGACTCATCAAGCTTGAAACTGACACTCAATTAGTGTTTTGTAAGGTAGGTAACATTAACTTCAATGTAGAGCAAAGTATCTTTGGTTTAGAGGTAAGTTTATATTCAAGAGTGAAGTAATGCAAATTTTATACTAAATTTACCTTAAACTGTCTCACGCACAGCAACTTGATACCATAATGATCGGGATGGGCGGGGTCGACAAAAAATTGGACTGATACACTTTATAGAGCGAACTATTAGAATTTCAAATCGGCGACATAGTTATTTATCTAATTAACATCAGTTGGTCTGTATCTAGGATTTATAGACCCATATTCGGGAGTAGCTGAGTGAGTCGAATGCTAAAGAGTTTCGGGATTTGTCGCAACAGGGCGTTGCTAATGATCCGATCGTTTATGGTTAAAACTAAAACATTCTTAAGAAATAGGCATTCACCTAATTAGGGATGATTAAAATCTGTCACTTGTTTTTCACTTTACCAATGGAAATGTCTAAATACAAAGATTTAGATACACAATTATATTATTTTCCATTATCTACTATTATTGATTGAGTACTGGGTGAGTTACATCAGTAAAAAAAGCTTTGACAAGCTGACAGCAGAAACTAACTTTTTATTAAACTACTTGTACCAAAGATCCAATACAATAATATTCATTAAGCTTCCTTTACAATTGGCAACAAGTCTGATCGTGATGATTAGATTATTTACTGAGTTAACATCGATATACACAAACCAGTTAATATAATCAAAGCACCCATTAATTAGTGGTCCCAACATAAAAAAGTCGCTCGCGTCGGCGCTTGCGCAGCCGGATTGATTCACAAGTGATCGCTTGCAATATCAGATGTCTACATTTACGGATGACAGGGGTATAAATATTTAAACTAGCATTTACCTACAAGCTAAGCTCGTACGGTTTATCGCCAAAGTTAAATGTCCCTAGATAGAACTGTTGCTTACTAAGGTAAATGGTAGTTATTTTGCAGTATCAGTTCCTCCGTGGTTGAGGATTCCGGGTGAAGCTCGCTTCCACCTTCGGCCTGATCGTCACTTACCATCAGGTGAGATACAGGCCAAGAGCTTCCTCGTTGTGGATAAAAAAAAAAAAAAAAAATCAAATAGGGAGGAAAATTTGGTTAAAATAACAATGCCTTTGCTTTTCTAAAGGGAAGTCCGCTCTATACAGCATCAGACAAGAGCAAGCGCGCGCGTGTGCATGGGGTATGCCAAATTGAAGGCACGCGGCATGTGTGCCGGGGGCTTTACTATTATGTTGAAGAATTTGAGTAGGTATCATAGTTTTCTAAGTATGATAATCTGAAAGAAAAAACTATAGTTGATATTTGCATTGAGTAAAAAATAAACGACATTCATGAATATTAAATAGCAAACTGACTCCCATTGCAACTTAATGAACTAAAACCCAGATTGGACATCCGGAGGAAACCAGCCTCTCGACACTGACGCTGTTAGACTTACACATAACTAATTAGTTAATTAATTGCCTATTTGATGTCACTACGAGAAACATTTGCAGTAACATTTCAATATTTTAGCTAGAGCAAATATAAGTAATATAGCTATTATTTAAATGTAATAGTTTGTAAAACCACTTTGATGGTGTTATGTGACTTTGACAATTAAATACTTAACTCAAGAAAAACTTACTAGGATATCATATATCCCACAGGCTTTTTGTATAGGATATTCCTGATACCTTTGTAGAGTATTTGTAAAGTACCAACATCTAGCATGTTGCGTTCGACTTTCGGTAGAGTTAACTCTTAATAAGTCTATAGGAAAGCGAGAGGAGTGTCATTTTAGGCCCCAGAGGGGGCTGCTGTGACCAAAGATATTACGAATAGTTAATAGTAATAGTTTTTATTTACCAAAGACTATAAATTAATTACTCAGTATGTGTAGGTTATATAATTTATCAAATAAATGTTTTCCGTGGCCATATTTGACTTCGGACAGATATAGATCGCTGTGACCAAGTCAATACAGTGACCGTGTTTCAGCTAGACTTACAACAATTATAAGAACATTAGTGCTAATTCACGTCTAGGCTGTAACCCAAACATGGTCATACAATTACTCAAGTAAAACAGTAATTGTCCCCAAGCTGTCTACCGATATGAATGATAATCATAAATTGGAATAGGTTCCACGGTAGCATATTAAGTATATGCCTTGCAGGATAACTCCTAAAAATGAAATAATAAAAAAAAATATGGGCGGAAAGTTTAATGCCTTTGTATGACCGCTTACAATGAAAGTAAGTAGGTACATACATAGGTACAATGAAAGAAACTAAATACTTTGGCGACCCAAGCAGAAATAAGAGTATTCAAATAGGAAAATAATCGATATGTAACAATATTATTCTAAAGATCAATTTGCAACTTATCATAGTCTGGGTGATATTATGTTTAATATTACGTATGTATTTACAAAAAAAAGTATTTAAGTATGTTTATATCCGCTGTCTAGTACCCACAGTACTACAAGCTTTGCTTAATTTGGGACTATAATGTAGTGTAAAATGTCCAAAGATATTTATTACTATTTAATGATTATTATTATTTATAGTAATAATTTGTGTTATGATTTCTGAACAATGAATAAAAATTTTAATCAACAAAAACTAATAATAAATCTGAAAATGTCTTGTCCACACTATTAATGATTATAATAACGATTGAAGAAATCATAGCCAGAAAGAGAAATAAAATGCAGCCATAAAATTCGTGTTCCAGCTCATTTTACACATACCACTAAAAGTAGAGTTATGTTATTGTACAAAAATTGATTACACGAATGTCAGAATTTCAAGAAATGCACTGAGAATTTTAGTGATAATTTTAATGGTTTGACATGGAATTTTATTAATTCGCTAACCTTCCGTCACCGGTTTTGGCTCCTTGCCAGTGTGCAGTGTTACCAAACACATTTATAAGCTTTTTTAGATTATTCGCAATCTGAACTTGAAGCGGAAAAAAAACCTAACTTTGACCGTAACTATAACGTTACCCGGTATTTTTTGTATGAAATTTGTCAAAGTTAAAGTAAAATGGTGCAACCCATTACCACACCATTACCCAACTTATGAGTACAAAATAAAGCTTTTAGTCATTATTGAGCTTTTAGGATGCTTCAACTCTGATCACTAAAACACCACAAATTTTATTTCAATCAATCAAAAGGCATTTCTTAAAACTAAATAAAATGTATATATTTATTGTTTGTTTGAAAGCGACAACTAACAAAATACTATTGCTTTATTAACTACGAAAAATGTTATTAAATGTTGAGAATTTAATGTTCATGAATGATTTATAATAGGGCCTCGCTTCACACGGACCATCAAAATGCGCCGACGAATTTACGAACATCTGCGCCTTGCCTAATACGTCGACAGACCTCATAAAGTGCAATTTTCTTATGCAGTTGTAATTTTTATTGCATTTTAGTACACTAAACTTGGTCATGCTACAATATACGGCCATCCATCCTCTAATTTGTTTACATTAGTTAGACTCGTGACTTTGCTTGGAAAATAACGTCATAACACTGACCCACAAACAATAGATGTTCTTTTGTTTCTAGTTTTTTGGCAGTTAAACTATTCCTACCAAAAACTTCACGTGAATTTATCTAAATCTAAAAAAATATATACTTATTTCGTGGTATACATTTTGTTTTCTGTAATTTATTTTAGTTTCTGGTAATATTTTTTGTCTGTAATTTTATTTTGAACACTTAAGTTATTTTATTACACTTATACTTTTGCAGTACCTACTTACTTATAAGAAGAATATACCAAAATGTTTCAGCGGTTAAACTTTTTATTTACACAAAAAGTTAAGTTTTTTTTTCTTGCGATTAATTTAAGATGGGCAATGTACGTACATGTTATAAAATAAGATGAAACCTTCGTTTTTCTATCAAGATCAACCTCTTCGCCTTAATAGCCTATCATAATCGTGTAAAAATAGAATAAATAATCATAATTAGTTGCGCACACATATCACGTAGGCCCAAACTCAGGATGCCTAGACCTAGGCAGGCCGATTTAAATTCCTACTTAGTATATAAGGTGGCCACTGGCTGGTAATTGGCCAGACGACATTCTTACTTCAGTAGAAACGGTCCCCGAAGCCATGCGGTCCCTAGTGAGTATGAATTTATAGATATAAAAAAATAAATAAAAAGTACGTTTATTTCGAACCAGGGTCCATATTATAGTGTTAGTAACAATGTAAGCTTAAACTATGTTATAAAATGATAAATCAATCTTTTGTAAGCCTTATGCCCGTTTTCACCATCACATCCCTAATTTTTTAGTGACCCCTATGAAAACAAAATTATTCCTGTTAAGTGTTACAACAGGGGTCACTTAATAATTAAGGATTGATAGTAAAAAAGGGGTAATAATAAAGTCCTTAAACCTATTACCTCCGGATAGAATTATTAAACTTTATATCCAGCTGTTCTGATGATAAAGCTATAAATTGACAAGATTGGCCAAAATCGGTTCAGCAGTTTTCCGTGAAGGTCTATAAAACGTCCATCAATCATCACAAACTTTCGGGCTTACAATAAAACAAGTGCACTCGTAGAATAGATTTATACATTCGTAGACTTTTCGTAGATTGCTTTTAGCTGCATCTGATCTAATTCGAGGGCTATTTTGTTTTCTAGTAAAACTCTATGGGGTGTTATCGTACAACTTAAAAGCATGTTAAAAATCACAGAGGCAGCTAATTTTGAACAAGGTTGAATGTGACACGGTAATTTCAAAGCACGTGGCGTCACAGCTTTATTACTTTTCCATGTATTGCAATAACACGTTATAATTTATATTTTTATGCACACAACTTGCATTAATGACGATAATATCAGCATATTTTCTGTATAGCAAAGGTTATCATGATCATCAAAGTTTCAGGTTACAGTCTTCAGGATCATGCTATGATTTTAAAAATATCAAAATAATACATTCTTTTGTTGACTCTCATATTAAAACTCACATCACGAACCGCCAAACATAATCTAATAGTACTGATCTAATGTTTTTTACAATTTAAAGTTTTTAATTTAACTTTATTCATAGTTCATCATTTAATCAGTAAATCATCATCGTATTGTGATCATCAATCAATCATCATCATATTGTGATTCAGGAATGTCGTAGCTGCTACTAAATCTCGTAGACGTCGTAGTCAACTTTTTATCACGCTGCTTTCTTTCGTAGCATATTTATTTACTCATTGAGTATAACTTAAACCAATGACACATAATTTTGTAATTGTCAAATGTGTTTCCAGGTACTTTTCGCCCTTCTTTCATTGGCTGCTGCCAAGCCTAAACCCGGTGGTCTGTGGGGAGCACCAGCCGTAAGTATCTATTGTAAACTATATTTTGATTGTTTAAACATACAAGGT